TTAAATGAACGAAACTTTCAATTTGTCATGATTTCTTAGCAGTCGATGACGTCACCATTCGAGCAGTAGCTCAGCAGCGTGAGGTTGTTGCGCAATCAGCTGTTTCACTTGGTCGATTCGATGTAGCACGTTTCAGACCAGTCATGTAGTTGACGCTTGAAAGTCAACAGTCCAGCTTGCCGTCACAAAGAAGACAGTAAAATATACTCATTCCGATGGCGTTTGCTGCATTCTTCTTTGAAGGCTCATGCTTGCTGACATGTTAGGATGACTGCCGGCTATGGTCAATTCGCCCAGACTGTGCGGCACAATCTGCCCTAGTCCACTGCTATTCTTCATTCTAGGACGTGTTAAAAGGAATTTTGTGTAACGTTGACCTGAAATGGAATATCTGTCCTAACAGTGTGCATGTAAACTATATCCGTAGGCCAACCTGAACCGATCTGGGATCTCGTAGATGTTTAGTAGTTGAATGCAGAACGTGGTGTGAAAACCTTGGTTATTTGTCTGTCGAAGTGCCATCTCACACTGGCTGAAGTTGATTGTCCACGGTTGTAAGCAGCCATCCTGACTCTGAAAGAGTTGAGAGAGGGTTCTTGCAAATGATGCCTTAATGACCACCAACGAAGTGATGGACAGTCGTTTTTACAATGTTTAGTCATGCTGGGGGAATCAAATCCGTGATTTGTGAACATAGGTCAGAATGGATCATGTCGACTGACATTGTACAAGTTATGTTACTTATCCGCATCCACGCGAACACTGACGATAGTTAATTGACTGATTAATCGGTTAATGTGCAGCGATCACACGAAACGAGAATAATTGTTACATGGCAAATGTAAACAAAGTACGAATCCTTTCATAGGTGACGGATCCATTAGATCTGCTGTCATGCGAGTGCATCCGGGACGTAAAATCAAACAGCTTGATTTGCCACCCACATTGTTTTGGGCAGGTAATCCTGTTAGAACGATAGAGGGACCCATATACTTGGGTGACATTATCTCGTCAGCTTGTAATGTTACTGGAAGAGACATCAACAAGGTTAGCGGAGGTGCTTATTGTCATTGCAAATCTGTACCAACCGTTGAATCAAAAGACCTCTGGCTAAGTTTGTAAGGGAGGGTATATAACGTTTGTTGGGTGCCGTCTTGCTTTGTGGTTCGGAAACGTGGCTTGTTAGTGACGAAAGTACGCACAGATTTGCAATGTTTGACCATCGTTGTATCCACTCATTAGCCTACATCAAGTGAAATGTTGGTATGAACAAAACGACCGTTCCCCAGCGCGTATGCTGGAACGCTCGGCATGCGCAATCAGTGGGTTAACTACCCACGTTGCACAGCCACCAATGGTTGGATCACGTACTCCGCATGCCCTCTGATCGTTAACTGTGTCATGCATTACATACTTAGATCACCGGCATTTCGGTAAAATCGTGTAATCGTCAAGCTACAGCGTGTTCGCGAAATATGGGGACCCTGACTGCTCTATTAAGAAAAGTGGGTGGCTATCGTCAGCTTGGCTGGGATTCTCATGATCATTCAACTCGCTGGTTAGAAACGCTATCCAAGATGGCAGTGTGTCGCAGTCAGTGTCGTGTACGCATTCATTACATTTCCTCCACTTTAGCCTTGTTTTATCTTCTTCCGATAATTTCCGCCCTCCTAGTTTTTCCATGTCATTGTCATGATGGGCGGCGGCTTGAACTGTACTATTTTGATCAAGGCCGTGACCCTTATGAATGAATAGATGGCAATTGATACTACCCACTTTAATCATCCTAGTAATCATCTGGTTAACAATGAGATTCAAGATACCGAGCATTTTTATCTCCCGTTTGTCTGAGAGCAACTCACAGACTTGGTGAGATGACCTCCACAAGTGATTGACATATGTGCTACCAACTGTACCTTCTATCAGTATTCATTATGTACGTGATTATTGATTTTGGCCTAATGTCCACTTTTGTTTTGTATCTGAAACGTAAATATTAATGAAAATGTACAATAGGCTGGTGGGAACACAGTTTGATATTGATTGAGAAACGTTTTTTCACTATATTTCTGTCTCCTGTTGTGTTCATCGGAGCACGCATCTGTCCTATCATATGGCGATCGATTTCCTGCACGCAGTTGTGTGCCTCCCTTCCATAAGTCGTGTGACGGCTTAGTCACGATGGCCAATACCCGTCGTACATGTTGACTCTTGCCCCTGTGTTCCCTCTGCTTGTACGTTTGTTTGTGAACACTTGTCGCGCTTAGTCTACTTCCAATACACCAGTTAACCTACTAAATCTTTATAAGAAGGCGAAATGTTTTATGTGGCCGTAGTTCTTTTCAAATACGATTGAGCAAGTCAATACAACAGTGCTTCTATCGCGGAAGGTTCATGCAGTACCTGTTCACACATTATAGAGTCTGTATTGAGTTGTTTGCGATTCTTCGTGGGGAATTCCTGCCTTCCCACCACGCGTTTATTTCTGTGTTCTAACTGAAAAATGTTCAGACGAATTCCGTCTCCAGGTTTAGCTCAATTTGTGCATAGGGAGTGACTAATTCCACTGACGTATCTTGTGCCCGACGAAAATGTGTCAGTGCAATGAAAGGCTGCTCAGTCGTCTTTTGTCGACCACGTGAGTTACGATTCGACAAACAACCCAACTTTTCGTGTTCCCTGTCGGATACATTTACTGATCTGTCAGTGCCTCCCATTGGTTGTTCTCGGTTGCTTTGCTTGCTATCTTCTCCCATACTGTTTGTGGTTCCAGTACCCCTTTGACGCGGTGATTCCATAGGTGTCATCAAGCTCGATTGACGCACCCCAACTTCTGGCACCATTTCCCTACTGATCAATGAGTTCTCCTTGGAGCCCGTTCCGGTAATATATGCTCGCGTATGTGGATCGAATCCCACATTTCCGTCAATATACATATTGGTTTGGCCCAGCTCATCGCTGCAGTTAGTAGTCAAACTCGGTCGACTGAAACGCACCGGATCAGTTCCTGAGTCTGATGCGTTCTGCCACATTATGTTACCTAGCGCTAGGTCGTTTGTTGTCTGTGTCGCTTCGTTTGACTGATGTGGATGATGAATGGGCTCCTTATGACGAATCAACTGTTGTGTTTGAACCCATTTCGAAGTGTTGTGGTGTGCTGTTGATATGGGGTCTGAGGATGGTCCATTAAGAACTCGGATGGGATTGCATAGCGTGGATGGCTGTCCGGTTAAATGGTTCGCATTGTCTTCTCCTGCGCAATAATCGTAGAGGTGTTTGGGAGCTCTGCGCTGGAACAAGTTGCAGCACGGACTGTGACGAAAACAAAGATGAGCATTAGCAACAATGGAATGAAACGACAGGACGAAGTATTGCGTTCAATAAGTCTTAATATTTCTTTGGCAGTCTATCAGTCAGATGCTAGTTGCTATGCCATATGTTTGCGGAAACTTCAATCAACAGTGACCGTCCTTATGACTGCCAAGAAGAATGTTTGGGACCGTTCAATTATCACTTTGAATACTTAAATGAATTCTTAAGATTCCGGCACATTCTGTACCATCCTCTTATCATAATAATTTACAATGTATTTTTCATTGTGCCAATTATATGCTTCCTTCTTTTACTCTTTGTCAATGCTAATTATCAACAGTTTTTCCCAAATTTTCTTGATGTTTTGAAAATAACATGTTTCATAACTTTTCTTCCCGTTACTGAACTTGTCATGCACACTGTAGCACTTGGCTAACCTGAACGCTCAGACTATGGAATGTAGTGCCCAATTGTTGTCATGGCAATTCGCGTAAACTGACACTACGTCAATGTCCCTCACTTCTTAACTTGCACACGGTCAATTAGAAAGATTTGCAGGCATTGACTGAGCCATTTCTTTTGTACCTTCTTATCATATACCTCGCATACACACTAACCAAAATTTTCTGTAAATTTAATACATTCGATGAGATAATTACGCGATCGATACTAAAGTGACTTCAACGCCACAATTTGCTGCTTGTCAAACAAGGAAACAAACATAGAAACAAATAACGTTCTCCTTCCTATGATGACTCTATTTCTATGAACATGTTGATGGGTGATCACGACTAACAAGTAATGTTAAGTATGAACTTGGTAGATATATTTTTTATGAATTTGGTGGATCAATTCGATGATCAGTCGTTAGCAGGTGTCCGGCACCTAAGAACTTCATTTCATATGTTTTTCTGCCATATCACTTATGTGGTCGAACACACCTGTGTCTACGTGAAGTTGTGCATGCAATGGGAAGACATCATTTAAATACCTATCTGTTTACATGAGCAGTAGGTTAGTGAAATTAACTTGCACTTTGCAGCGCTGTAAACTTTCTATCGATTTGTGTTGGCACCTTTGGACGTAATTTACACCAGATGGTTATCTTCAACGCATGGCTTTATATAAGAGATCCCCATCTCCTTCACTGTTTGATATTGTATTGAGTTTGTCTAGCCTCATACACATCGAATAGGCCATTCGGATATAAAACAAAGTAAAAACTGACGAGAGTTCGTATGTATCTGTGATTAACTTTTAACAGGTCTATACCGACCAGAGCAAGTAATCACCTGCTGGTTCAAATCTTACCAACGTATACGCGGGAAGCACATCTAAATCAGCATTACTGCATTTACAAGTCAAGATGAGATTCGGTCCAAAGTACCTGTGATAATGGTTGTGTTGGCTGTTAAATTCACAATATGTGAAATTTGTCTGTGTGGTTTTCATGGCTGATTATATTGCGTATCCTATGTTATTTCCGCGACTGAAATCATAAAAATGTCAACTGACGTTAAGTAGTTTGGTAGAGTTATGATTTTAGATGAGACTCAATTGTGAAACTTCAGGGCTTCGGCTTGATTCGAACCAGCGACAGAAACACTCAGTAACTACTGCCTAACAGTGAACTGAAAAATCAGGAATATTGTGGCCTAACTATGCATAGCTTTGTTTGGAGCCACATTGGCTTCGTAGCTCACGTGGTAGAGCGTTTACAGCGTTTGAGCACGGTGTTTCTGTCGCTGGTTCGAATCCAGCCGAAGCCCTGAATTTCACAATTGGGTCTCATTTAAAATTAAGCTGACAGAACTGCCCATTGTTGCAGTTGATAGTAAGGTTTAGCATGTCTATGTGAATCCACTTGTTTCAGATCATTCGTGGGAAGCTCGACGTGAATGTCAGTTGTTTTGATTAAGTCGACTGTCTTATTTAAGTTTCCGCTGTTCGCTCAAATATGTGTCATTCTCGATAGCACATGATGAGCAGTCGCTTCTGACACAGATCGCTTCTTTTACCACAGGCGACCAGTGAGATGGCTTTCTTGCGTTCACAAAAATGTATTTCTCTATAGTAATGATCTAATCTAGAATCACATACATGTACGTCCCAGCACGACAGTTTTATATTGTACTAGAAAACACTCCGCCATACTAAGCACCCGCGTTGACCAGAGTTAACGACAGTTGACTAAGACTTGGTTGAACTGAATGAATCGTCCTTCTGACAGTTGATTGTGGAATTATCTCATGTTCACTTGCCAACATGTGCATTTAGTTTGAACTGACAAATTGAAACATAGGATTACCGAATTCCTGAAATTTTTTTGATGTACGGTAATGTAACAAACATCATTCTGTTGTAATGAGGAACGGATTGATCATATAAGAGAAAGAGTTTCCACTGAATGAAATGGTGGGCATGATAGAGCGTCTGTACAATATTATGGCTCGTTCAGTAGTATTTACTCTTCTAGGGTTAACGCAAAATCTCAGAGGGACCCGTCAGTCTAAAGTCAACTGGGGCATAAAATCTACGGAACGTCCACTGCTTTTCCATGAACACTCATCATTACTTCACGAGGTCAAGATTACCGACATCCGCCACGATGAGACTAGAAGGGCAGCCAGGTGCGAAACAGACCAAGTGGGCGAAACACCACTTAAGAATGACTTCTCAATCTCTCATTTGTAACGAAGGTATGTGGTCGGTTTGGACGGCGTCATTACATCATCATCTTTGAGAAGAACTGAAGTGAATAGATCCGAAAAAAGACTACGTGGACATCTGCCGGACCCAACCTCAAATTATTAAACCTGTATAAGTGGTATTCACTGTGCAGTGTTCGCCCCATTGTATACACACCTATATGAAATATATACGATCACTTGGATAGTTATTTTGAACTTGCCCATAAATCTATTCGTAGTGGTTACTGGGCATTTCTCTGAATGGCTTATTTAGACTAAAGCAGCCCATCAAAACTCAAGTATGAATCCGGTTTTTATGTACATAACGCCTTCATCAGAGCAGAAAGAAAACGTGTTGCGATATGTCAAGATTGCAATGCTTATCCATATTTACCAGTGGACGTTATGTGCACAAAAGTGGTTGAGGCAACCTATCGGATTGTCGTGGTGTTGATCACATAATACTCGGTGTGCTCGTAGGCGTATCTAGTCTATGGTTGTCCATATGTATGATATACATAACTGGCACGTTTGCGACTGATAGAAGTAAACGAAATGTTATTTCCTAGCGTATGTCTTCTTTCTGTTCTGATGAAGTGTTCAAAGGGAAGTCAATGTTTCAAGCATAAAGTCAGTTAATGAGCATTCATAGTATTTTTGCCTACATATGCTTTCATTAGTTAAGTTTATGGTCACAACTTGTACCTTTGCAAGCCTGACAGAATTGATCATTACTTACTTTGATTGACTATCACTTTTCGTACAACAGATGACGGTATCATTAAGGTTATTTCTACAGAGAGTTTGTTGCCACATACCTTTGGTTGACCCATTGGAATTCGTTTTGATTGCACTTCCACTTATTCAGAAACATGGTTAGCTTGAAGTTCACGTGATTGCAAGAGAATTCAGAAAACAGATGAGTCACTTGACGGCTAACCTTTCTGTACTTCTTTGATTTGATATGTTGAAGAGTCTGATATCTCACATCGGTACACCGGCTTGTACAGTTTTCCGGTAGCATTATGAGATATGCTTCTCTAGTTGTAAGCCATCCTAATCTAGATGCACATCATATGATTATAGGATCGTGGCAAGGGCCTACAGGCCATGTCTAACGTGACACACTAACTAGTCTGATGGTCGATGTCTTGACGACCTAGTAATCAGTCGTGCTCTCTGATTATCAGGCTGATTTTTAGGATGTGTCGAGGTACAAATCAGTTGAAGTTAATCTGAAACTCATTAACTACTGCTTGACAATAGACTGAAAATTCAGGAATACTGTGACTTAACTATGCATGCCCTCATTGTAGTAGCTGTGATTGACTTTACACTTCTGATGAGAACCAGAATACATTAACTCCTAATGATGTAATCTTTAAAATTCACAAAAGTACGAGCCGATTGTCTGTCATTATTGTAAATGTAAGCAAAAGTATATTTGGTCAGAGCAGATAAAACAATTTAATGACATGATTTACGATCAGCCAGGTTTCGCTATATCCCTACTTGTGTTTACAGCAGAAGGATTATGTTTACAAATTCCGAAACTACAAACGAATTACAAACTGATGAAACCGTAAGCACGGTCTCAGTTATCAGAACGGAGCATAACTTGTAAATATATTTGTGATTGCAGACCGTTTAGTACTAGCATAACTGAGCTTTAGGTTGGATCTAGGGCTGTTATATTCTTGGAAGGGGTTCAACAAACGTTTGCGTAATCAGACAAGTAGGCAGTAAACACACGGAAGTAATCAGCGTCGTTGAATATTGGGTATCACGTGATGGTGCAACATATGGTTGACTCATCAGTTATTTCGTGTACTGTTTGCAGTTCGAGGCGAACGTTTCCTACAGTTTGCGGAAACAATTGCAATCGGACACCATCGCTCCATTTTGTACACACAGCTGAACTGTGTGTCGTTGGTGCTGTTGTGGTAGCATCCAAACTCGTAAACCTTGGCCGTACTTATAACCGTTTCATAGTGTGTACTTCTCTACGTACAATGAACATCACTGAAGATGTGGCGAAATCTACTTTAACATACATCGTGTAATCATTTTTCTCCCGGTTCATTCAAATTAACAAGGAGGAGTAGTTGCTTTTAAAGTATACTCGTTCACAGTTGAGTAACCTACCAGTAGCTCGATCTTGCATGATCAGATAAACTGCTTGTCACCGGAGCCGAACTTATTCGCGATGGCATCAGCGCCGCGTAGTTCGAGATGGCCGGACCCGAGGGAGGATGTTGCGCACCCAATTTGAGAAGAAATACACGTTGACGTTGATACCAACACATTATGACCACGCCCAGTACAACCAGAAATACGGCCACCAAGGTCGTACCCAGAAATATTGGAGTTGGGCTGGCAAACTGTAGAAGATTATGCACGGGTGATACTTGCAACTTGGTGACTGAACCTGCACGTTTTGCAAAGAGAAAAATAACCGTTTATAGCATGTGCTAACATTCAAGCATCTTCAGAAATTATGGATTGGCTTTCATTTTCTATTTGGCGACATTAACTGCAACGCATTGTGCTTTTGTGTTTGATTTCAAGCCTTACAAATTTGATTACTTCAATTTGTACTCCTTATGGGATCCATATAGTTGTTTACATGTGGGGTTAAATACATTGTAACGAAACCCATCTAAACATTTACCCATCTGAGATTATTTTGTGGTAAGTTTGCACAAGCCTATTGCACAACTGGTCCTACTTCCGCTTGACTTTCCATTGTTACTTTGCATGCTTCTTGAAAACTTGTTGTAGGCAATCAGTAGATATATTTGTTGTTGGCGTTTCCTATCTAATTCAGACGCTTTGCCGGTTACGGATTCACAGTAAGTTTAAGAGAAGCGAAATGCGAGTTAGCATATTAACAGATTATAAGCTCATAGTAGAAATGAAATAATCTCCTAGCTAATTTGGGTTACTGATTTCGGTGTGAGTAAAACTACTAGGGAAATTCAAAAAAGGTTCAGTTTGAGACGTAAGGAACTTAAAACTGGGATGATGCCAACACGTTTTTGATCCACATGCGTACAAATTCGAATCTTCAACAAAACGATGGTTTCATGCCAGAGTATCAACGTCAGTATGATCGGAATCAAGTCAGATATAACGATATTGTAATTGTGGTCGTGGATAACAACTCTGATTTGTGTCTAAGACGATAGCACTGTCATGTCATGTTATCATTTGATTATTGTGGATGTGTTAAACGCGTGAACGGTTAATCTTTAGCATATATCACTTACAGTTTTGTAACATCGTTGTGTGGAAGTCAAGTGAATCGTTACTTTATCCATCAACGTCAGACAAGTATCATTTGTTCTATGGGATTTCTCAGTCAACAGTGTTTAAACGAATACTTGGTTTCGTTTAGCTGTGCATTTTTGTTCCCTAGTAAAACTACTTGCAAATTACTGATCGCTATCGAAAATACTGTCAGGAAATGGATGTACTATTAACTTTCTCAAATATCCCGTTAAAAATCTCTAACGAACTATCGGGTAATTGCATTTCGGACAAAGATGTTTTACTGTTGAAACGTGTCCACTGAAGATAAAACCAGATAAACGAAAAAATGTTCTAATTTGCGTTTACTAGACTGTTGACTGTTGATCAGATATTCAGTACCTGTGCCATTTGTCAGAATGACCAAGAAGTTCTAATTGCATTATTTGAACAAAACTTTGTTGCAGTGCTGAAATTTTTTAAATTCTGTTATCCTGACAAATTCGTTGGTATGTTACGTATTGCTAGTTCTTTACCGAACAGTGTGTGAACCGGTGCCATCCTACACTTTAGGGGTTTTGGTTCATGTGTTAGAAATGAGTTCAGCTAGAAAGCAATTGAAACTTAACTCAGTCTATTTTTGTGATACAGGCGGTACACCTGTTCAGCTTGGGATACAACGACCACATGTCCAGACCATTTCCTGATATATACTCGTGTCGATCAAGACACGTAAACCTGTACACAAAGAGTTTTCGTTAAGTTTGCATTTCGGACATTGAGTTCGTTACAAGAACACCATGTTTTACTTATTGTCCTCATCCACGTAT